TACTCTGCTGTGAAACAAAATAAGCATATTTGCAATACCACAACCCAAACATGTACATACTGTTCCTTTTTATTCATTCCATTTCCTCTCAGTTTTTATATATTATACTTGACACTGTGAATGATTGAAGCTGAAGTCAAATTCCTTGTTTGTGCACACTAACTTGGCCATTGAAGGTAATCTGATTCTGAAGAAGTGGGGAATGGTGGTGCATTATGTGATTAGAGAAGGTGAGCCTGTGATGGGAAGTTTACTGCCTCAAATTCCTGGACCAATGACATCAAAACATGGATGGAAAAGGTGAAGCATCCACACCTGCCTCCACCCTCATTTGCCCCACTCTGGTGCCTTGAGCAAGGCCCTTGATATAGGAATGATTATTTTGATGCTTTTATGTCAATTTATACTTATTTTACACTCATTTACATGTAGTTTGAAAACACACTTATACAACGTGTTATTCACATATTAGGGATTGTATTTTGTTTTACATGTCATAAAGGCAAAGGGTGGAATGATTTATGTTGCCTTTATGCCTATTCAAATATATATATATATATATATATATATATATTTGGGACACTCTTTGATGGTTTGCAGAGGGACGGAGGGGTGCAGTGTTTTCTCTTTAGGAATGCTTTAATAAGCATTAGGAGTGCTTTTGACCTGGAAGCTTTGGCCCGCTTTTACGGTCACGGCGCTCCTTACTGGAAGGACATGTTTTTATGAGCCATCGCTTTGATGATGGAAAAACATGTTTTAATTAGATCTGTCCTCCTGACAACCATCAAACTTGTTTTTCACTGCTCTCACACGATCCGGTCAGGGAAAGGTATAAAGGAGGTGTGACAGGCAAGGGAACTTGGAAGTCTTGTGTGGACCAGCGCGCGGTGCCATGCAGTTGTGATGTGAGTTCTGTCATTGGATCGAAAGGCTTCCCGGTCACTTGTCACGGTGAGAGATACTCATATCAATTTGTGTGTTAAGAGTGTACAAACTGTACATGACCTTGCTTGGCTGTTTTCTTGTGGCAGATTAATAAATGACAATATTATTCTAGCAAGTTACAGTCCCTTGTGTTTCATTTCCTCTTGTCTGAATATCTGGTGCCGATCGTTCACGAACCTTTGATAAAGAATTTCATAATACATTTTTGGCGACGAGGATGGGATGTTAATAATTAAATAAATAATTCTGAACGGCTGCACCATATTCAAACGAAGGGAAAAAAGTGTTGAGAAAAATGTTGATGCGAGTTGCATCTGGACAAAGAGTTCGTTGAAGTTGTGCCGGGTTGGGAGAGTTATCCAACCTTGGCTTTGTGTTTAAGAGGTGGAGGGGGACGCCCCGAGCCTTTGTGTGAGAGTTTAAAAACAGAGAAAAAGTTGATCCAGACGCCTGAGGAGGCGTGAGGGGAACAGAGAAAAAGTTGTACCGGGATGGGAAGAAGTCCCATCCCAGTTGTTTTTGTTGTTTTTGAAGAGGTGGGAAGAAGCCCATCTTAGTTGTTAGAACAATTTTTCTGAAAGCAGATAGTCCGAGTGATGTTTTGACCACTTTTGCAGGCAATAGAGGTCAGAAAAGATGGCACCAGTGACAGGACTTCAGCATAAAGTCAGAAAATGCAATCACAGGCTCAACGGAGCAAACAAGAATGTGAGGACCGCCTGCTTGTTGAATGGACGGCACACTCAGTCGCTCGCTCAGTTTGGGAGAATGAGCAGGGTAGTTGAAGGGGCGGTGGAGCAGGTGTCCCGGTTGCGAGGAAAATTCAAGAGAAAGAAAGCGATTGAAAAATGTGTGGAGGAAGTTCAGGAGAAAGATAAACAGTTTTTACAACAAAAACAGTTGTTATCTGATGTGCAGACAGAGTGCATGCTTCAGAAACAGCACGTGCAGCTGTTGACACTATAGCTAGACCGCATGATTAAAGTAGCTGAGGGCGCGGTCGGTCAGATATGCAGGCTTAAAAGGAGGAAGAAAGAGCGTGATGTTTTGCCGGAGCGAGTCGGAGCTTATGTTGCAAGGTTGGATGACGGATGGAATCCGTCGAGTTTGGACGGTAGCATCTCGGGAGACAAAGAGGTTGTTTACTTGTCTAAAATATCACAACCCACAGATGCTCGAGTATCGAGGCTGTTGGATAAAGGTGGAAGTCAGGTAATGAATTCAGCGCATCGAGTCAGAGCTTTGCAAGACTCGAGACCGTTGTTTGAAGTTTGTGTAGAAACAGCCCGACAGATAGCATCGGATTGGTCTGATTTACAGGGTCATTGGGTGACCGTAGGGGAGTGCGAGCAGAGATGGGCTAAGGAATGCGCTCGCTGTGCGTTGGGTTGTAGATTCAGAGTGTTGGAACTGGGTGCACTCGGAGATTGGAGCACAGAGAGGAACACAGAGCTGAAAACTGTGAAAAAATCATTTAGCCAACCCATGGGTCGTGGGCCGAGAAGGGACGGCCGGAAAAACATGCAGGAACCTACTTGTTCTGCTTTCTGGAGGGCATTAATACAGGCAGGAGTGCATGCAGCTGAGATGGATGATGTGTCAGCAGAAGAGCTGAGGGCTGGAAGCCATTATTTGGATTAAAGGGGCAAAAGTAGGGTCCAAAAGTTGACATCAACACTCTGAAAAGCAGATATTGTCAAACATTGAACATCAAAGGTCCAGAATTAGAGAGCCCAGATTTTGACGTTAAATTAAAAAGCCCCAAAACTTGAAGGTGATTTTAAAATGCCAAAGGTCAAAGGAGAAATTAAGACATCTGATGTTGCCATTAAAGGCCCAAGCATTGACATTTTGGGCCACTAAGGATGTATTAAAATGCCTAAAGTCAAGATGGTTTAAGGGGAAAAGGGTGGATTTGAAATGTCTAGAAATAAATATGTTGTTTGGATGTGTTAAGCTGGTTGCTTTGAAGAAAGTGCATCGTATGTTGTTTGGAAGGAAGTCTTGTGTGGACCAGCGCGCGGTGCCATGCAGTTGTGATGTGAGTTCTGTCATTGGATCGAAAGGCTTCCCGGTCACTTGTCACGGTGAGAGATACTCATATCAATTTGTGTGTTAAGAGTGTACGAGTGTACATGACTTTGCTTGGCTGTTTTCTTGTGGCAGATTAATAAATGACAATATTATTCTAGCAAGTTACAGTCCCTTGTGTTTTATTTTTCCCCTTGTCTGAATATCTGGTGCCGATCGCTCACGAACCCTTTGATAAAGAATTTCATAATACAGCCCTTAATCCTCATTCTGCTCCCCAGATGGCAGCCCTCTGGTTGTGGTAGCTCAGTGATCTGTGGTGGCCTCAGGAAGGGCATGCAGGGTAAAAATTGCCAAGTCTTCATACGAGTTAGTTTGATGTGGCAACCCCTGAAAAAAGGAGCAGCCGGAAGAAAAAAAAAGTTTTTTTGTTAGATAGTGACATTATCATGCTGTTGTAATCTGTGATTTTGTTTTGTCTAATTTAAAAACAAAATTAGATCTTGCTGCATCAGTGTTTTGATTTAGAGGAATATGTACTTTTTTATTGTGATATTAAATAAAATGTGCCATTTAATAGGGAAGTCAAAGAATATTTGTCTAAAACACATGTCCAACTCAATGCCCGTGGGTCAAATGTGGCTCTCATTGACATCTTATCTGGTCCCTAAAATGATATGTTAAACGTAAAATACTTTTATCACTTGAATTTTTTATTTTCATTAATCTTTGATTATGATGTCGAATGTGCAGCAGGAATGAGACCAATCAAACTGTTGTTGAGGAACCTGCAACCAAGAAAATATGTTGAGTATCCAACTTGAGTTAATGTAGATTCTGAAATTGGCTCTTAGTTTGAAAAAGGTTTTAATTTTGGACCCTGAGTTTGACACTCCTGGTCTAAAAGATATTTTTTCTTAGATAATTTGGATAATTAAATCCCGTGTCCTCAGGCGTGCAAAAACACAGGAATAAAACAAGAGGAAACTTTATATGGTTTTCAACTCAAACATGCGATACCTCAAAAATGTAATCGGGCCATCATATGCTGTCTATTAACAGAATACTGTCCAAGCATTTTAAATTTGAATGAGCTGTCACAGTGTAGGAAAATGTGCCTTAAAGTTTGGATGATGAACGCTGACCCCGCTAACAAGACATCTCTGGGGGAGCTCAATAAAGACTAATGTGCAAAGGTTTTACACTGAAATGATAAGTAGGAGTCAAAATACCCTTTGGAACCATCCGTCCGTCCGTCCGTCCATCCATCCATCCATCCATCCATTCAACCATCCATTATCTTTTACCCGCTTCTTCCTTTTTGGGTCACGGGGGTCACTGGTGCCCATGTCCAGCAGTCACTGTTTGAGAGGCGGGGGACACCCTGGACAGGTCTCCAGTCCATCACAGGGACACATAGAGACAAACAACCATTCACTCTCTCACTCACACCTAGGGACAATTTAGAGTTACCAATCAGTCTAACATGCATGTTTTTGGTCTGTGGGAGGAAACCGGAGTATTAGGAGAAAACCCACGCATGCACGGAGAGAACATGCAAACTCCACCGAGAAAGGTCCCTCGGTCGGGATTCGATCCGGCGACCTTGTCGCTGAGATGCGGTAGCTCTACCAACTGCACTACCGTGCCACCCCCTTGAAACTAAAGTCAAATAAATTGTAAATGGAAAGCAAGTTGCTGTAACATTTTGATTGGATTAAAAGTGAATTCATCCGAGCTCTGCTCGTTGAGGCCACTGCTTCCCATCCTGGATGTGACACTAACGCCAAATCAACTGGATATTGTTCTCAGCTTCTTGAATTGTCTAGTTTTTTTCAGCTGTGCTTCTTCAGTCAGCTTTTAATTTCCTGCAGCCCTTATGTAGGTCAAAAGTCCGACCAGTCACAGTCGATCCACCAAACATGCAGACCCTCTAAAAAGCTTGATCTCCAGATGAAAACTCAATTCTTTCAGCTAGGCAGGGGTTCCAGCTGAAAGAGTGGGTGGTGCACATGTGGGCTGAAAATACTGTAGATGAAAAAATAAGGTGGATTTGTTTAAAAAAACAAGTCCTGTAAGGGAGCCGGTCAAGCCACCAAACCCAGACGGGCGACCTTGGCAGACAGAAAAGAGTGGAGGATGAAGACAATTGGCTTCGGACAGGAGTGGAGGTCCAGTTGCTGCAGGGAGAGACAAAAACACACAAATAAAACCTGAGGTGAAAATAAAAAAGATAATGTCACACAATATTGGAAAAAAAAAAGAAAATACAGACGACTTTGGAAGTAGAAAAATTACATATAAAATAAATAACTTTAGCATTATTAAATTGAACCCAAAGTGTACACCAAACTCCTTTTTGCATAAAACTGTATCCAGAATCTAACTTTTTGTATTTTTCATTCCACAGAAATTGTTCTGATGTAAACGGAGTGTACTTACATAGCGCCTTTCTATTTAATCAATACTCAAAGTGCTTTAAAAAATGATGTTGAATAACATGACTGACTATCATTTCTTTATTCTACTTTTTCTCTAAAGTCATCTCAATTCTGTTTTGTACAGTTCAGATGGCCCTTTCCACGCAGTTTGGTATAACACAAAATAAATACTCAAACGTGTGTAACGTGAGGAGTTGGATCCAGAGTTGTGTTGGAGATGAGCACTGAGAAGATGCTATGTTCAGTTCCCTCACAGCCTGAACCAACAATGGAAGATTTCAGCACCACCACAACTCAGAAACTGCTCATACAAAGAGCTGCAACTTAAAGATTTATACTTGAACTGTTAACTGACCGATTTATGATTTCCAAATGCTGTCAACATGATACAAGTGAAACATCATCTTGATTGAGCCTGTTGTAATATTTGCCTACAAGTGTAGATCAGCATGATCTAATGAAACTCACACTGTTGGAGTCAGTATGAGGTCTAAAGGAAAGATCTAGCTGACTTACCTTGTGGTACAACAGTCAACAATGGTGTACCACAAGGCTCAGCCTTAGGACGTACCCTCTTTACAATCTACATAGGTAATGTAGGCCAGAGCATCCCTGATGCATCCTTACATTTCTATGCTGATGATACAGTTGTTTATTATCAAGCTAAAACATTTGCTAAGGCTTTCTAGCTTTTGCAATCTGCCTTCGACATCATCCAGTCAGATTTGTTCCGTCTCAAACTTGTCCTAAACGCTGACAAAACCAAAGGGATGCTGTTTTCAAACAGGAAGTCGGTCCCAGCAGTTTTTCTTTCGATTTTATCCTCTAATGGTGTCCCTATTGAGTTTGTCCATTCCTATAAATATTTGGGTATCTTGGTCGACTCGCACTCTTTTAAGCTTCATGTGGAAAACCTAGTAAAGAAACTGAAAGTTAAACTGGGTTTCTTTTTCAGAAATAGATCCTGTCTAACTGAATGCTGGGAAACACCTTGTATCTGTGACTTTCCTTCCCTCCATTGATTACGGTGACATTATTTACATGAACATTCCTACAAGAACGCAGCAGATGTTGGATGCTGTCTATCATGGTGTGCTAAGATTTATAACTGGCTGTGATTATAGTACCCATCATTGCACCCTGTATTCACTGGTTAACTGGACATCATTAACTTCACGCAGACTCTCCCACTGGTACATTTTCATCTTTAAATCACTTCATGGTCTGCTGCCTTCATACATCTCCTCCTACATGTCTCTGCGTGAGTGCAGCTACAGCGTGCGCTCTCAGGACATTATTACCTGCAGTGTTCCCTCAGTGAGGACTGAACTAGGCAAAAGGGCCTTCTCCTACTCTGCTCCTGTTTCCTGGAATATCTTACATAAAGATCTGAAGCTCTCGACCTTGACCTCTCTAAGTGGCTTTAAACATCTGTTAAGTTGCTGGGGAAAACCAATGCAGACATGTTCCTGTTTTTAGTATTTTACCTTGTTTCAAAATGTAGCTGGATTTTATTTTGTTTTATATCGCTACTTTTATTTACTATATATTTTATATACATTTTATGGCTGTTTATTGTTGTGTGTACCTTAAAAATCACGTCATGTTGCTGCTGATCTATTTCACGCTGCTGTGTTCATTCGTGCTCATCTGCTCACACAGACTCATGTTCGTGCTGCTGTTTGGCGTATTGTTTTTATACCACTAGTGCTTAGTGTATTTTTAGTTAATATATTTCTTAGTTCATATCTTAGATCTTATTACTGTTTTTCTTTTACATTTTATACTTTTGTAGGATGCAACTGGGACCCTGTGTACACAAGTTCATTCCACCGCATGTACACGTGGTGTGTATGACAAATAAAGAAACCTGAATCCTTAAAAACAGGTCTCTCTTGAAAATGAGTCCTCGTGACTCAACGAGACTTATGTAAATAAATGAAGTTTGAATGAATGAATTTCAAAGTGCTTGAGACACAACCATCTGTTGCGCCTTTTCTTAATGTTAAAGTTAAGAAATCAAAACCAACCAGTTCTGTCTGAAAGAACATTCGGGTTACAGTTTGAGACATTAATTTAAAACGCCCAAGTTTTTCATTTAAAATATAATATGATTAGAGTATTTACAATATTTTGTATCATATGTACCTTTTAGGTAAGAAATAAAGTTATAATTTGTTGATTTTCATGTTATTAAATGATAAAAGGCAAGAGATTAAAAAGTAAAACTTTGTACACCTGCTCTTGATTATGTCGTTCCCCCAGCAGAATGGGCCACCTGGACTTTACTCCATGAGATGGTGATTGGTGTAAACAGATTAAAAGTCTTACAGTTTGCGACAAGCCCTACGAAGAAAACCCACACCACAAAATCATAAGAACTTGTAAGAAAAGTTTATTTTGTTCTGTAGGAGTTTGTTCTAATGAAGTGCGGTAATTTACTTTTTGTTGTACCCCCTTCCTTTTTTCTGTCATGAGCACTTTGTACCACATTTTGTTTTGTGCTTCTTTTTCTATTCTGCCCACCGAGAAGCCCTCAGAGACTAAATGAGCTTTTTCTGTTTGCTGTTGCCTGTGATTGGAAGATCGCCGGTTCAAGCCCTGGTACCGACAACATTAAAAAAATGGGTGGGGTAGGTGAAGCACCCACACCTGCCCCCACCCTCACTTGCCCCACTCTGGGCCCATGAGCAAGGCCCTTAACCCCCATCTGCTCCCAAAACAGGTCTCTCTTGAAAATGAGTTCTCGTGGCTCAATGAGACTACCTGGATAAATAAAGGGTAAATGAAAAAAAAAACCAATAAAAAATTATTATAAGTAGTAGTAATAGTAGTAAAAGGGTACAAAAAATACCCTAAAAAGAGCAGCAATTTTATTTATTTATTTTTTGCATTTCTCTGTTTATACTACAGAAAAAGCGAACAATTGCATGCTTGCAGAAAATGTGTGGAAATGTTTTTTTTTGTTTTTTTTTCCTAATACAAATTCTTGGTGATCATTATGTTGTCAAAATTAATTTACAGCACAAAAGTTTGTAGTAATTGAAAAAAATTGTAAAACTTTGCAGAACAACCTATTTCTTTTTTCTATCGCAGCTGCATTTCTATTGGACTATCAAGTCTATAAGATTATCTACTGTTAATAGTAACATATTTGTATTTTTTTTATTTATTTGTCAAAATATAAGAAAAGCCTGAACACTTACAATCTCCCCTTCCTTCCCTCCAAAGTCGAGAAAAAGCATGCGTACTCCATCGTCAGAGGATATCTTTAGTTTTTCAAAAGGGTAAGACAAGAGCACTTGAGGCTTGAAGTTAGCTACTCTTTGTTCACCACCCCCCTCTTCTGCCATATTCAGGTCAGCCAGCACAGAAAAGCCCCTTTCGTAGTGGATCACCAGATGGCACTCCTGACTGTGGAACAAGCAACCTGAAAAACAGAAATTAGTAATAAAAAAGGGTTTCTTATAAGAATACTTAGTTTTAAAGTGTATCAACCTTGTTTATAATGAGGAAATGGCAGAACCAAAAAAATAATAAAACGCAAGACATGTCTTTTGAGTGTCACACAACCTAATATTATATATGTATATATATATATATATATATACGCACATCTTCTGTCCTCCTGTTACCCATCCTCCTACCAGTGAGGAGTTGTACAGTCTGATGGCATGAGGGAGAAAAGAGTTTTTTAGTCTCTTAGTCCTGCACTTGGGAAGTAGCAGTCTGTCACTGAACAGGCTCCTCTGATTGCTGATGACAGTGTGCTGAGGGTGACTGGCATTGCCCATTATGCCCAGTAATTTGTCTAGAGTTCTCTTCTCTTGCACTGTCACCATAGAGTAATTAAAATAATTAAAAATGGGCAAATGTTCACCATTATGCAAACAACTGCATCTAAAATAGCAAGACACTTTCTGAATAATGTTAAAAAGTTGAAAATCAGGAATACTTTGAATATTGCATCATCTACAATTTATAATTTCATTAAAAGTTTTCAAGAATTTGGAAGAATCTGTGGGAAGCCTAAAAGTTAGATCTTTGGGCTCTCAGATAACACTGTATAAAAAAACCCCCAGGTCTGACCAGGTCTTCTGTTAGGGACATATCTGCATGTGTTTAGGAACAATTACACTCATCATAATTTGTAAACGCAGCACGGTGGCGCAACTGGTAGAGCTGCTGCCTCTCAGCGAACAGGTCCCTGGTTCAAACCCCAGTCCAGGGGCCTTCTGGGTGGAGTTTGCATGTTCTCTCCGTGCATGCGTGGGTTTTCTCCGGGTACTCCGGTTTCCTCCCACAGACCAAAAACATGCATGTTAGGCTGATTGGTAACTCTAAATTGTCCCTAGGTGTGAGTGAGAGTGCATGGTTGTTTGTCTCTATGTGTCCCTGTGATGGACTTGCGACCCGTCCAGGGTGTACCCCGCCCCTCGCACAGTGATTGCTGGACATGGGCACCAGCGACCCCCGTGACCCAAAATGGAATAAGCGGGTAAAGATAATGGATGGATGGATAATTTGTAAACAAGGTTTGCTGTGCCATCCAAAAATGCTGGCATGTCAGCCATATAAATACCACCCAGAAATGCTACCTTCTTGTCTGGGCCAAAGCACATTTATTGTGGACTGAGGCAAAGTGAAAAACTGTTCAGTGGTCAGACAAGTAGAAACTTAGAATTTCTTTTGGAAACTATGGATGCCATGTTTCCATACTAAAGAGAAGGGGACCACTCGGCATGGTAACAGCACACAAATAAAAGGCTGCCTCTCTGATAAAGTGGTGTGTTACTGTGTGTGGCATGAGCAGCTTACACATATGAAAATACTTCATCAATGTAGAGAGGTATATACAGGTTTTAGAACAGCATGTGTGCCCATCGAGCCAAAAAAGAAGTAAAAACCCAGCAATGAAGACAAGGACTGGTTAACTACTAAAATCCTTAATCAGACAAAAATGGGACATCGTTCCACTCCAAAAATTCCAGCAATTATTCTTTACAGTTACTAGACATTTACAGACAGTTGTTAAATGAAAACAGGATGCTTCACAGTAGTAAACATTGTCCTGTCCCTCTAAAATGTTACAATTTCAATAGATATGTCTACTATGTTCCACTGTAAATAGAATATGGGTTTATTTTTTATTTAATAGCATTTTTAGAATTGAGTTACTGTATTTTTCGCTGTATAAGTCACGGTATTTTTTTTGCATAATTTGCATGCCCTGCAAATTATACACTGAAGCAACGTATTTATGGATTTTTTTCCCATATTTATAACCCAATATTTGGCTGAGATATGATCTTTTTCATTAATTCTGACTGATAATATTTAATGCTACCATTTCCAGCCGCTAGATGGCCGTCGAGCAGTATGGCATGCTGTTGTATCACAAAATAGGGAAAAGTGGCTATTAATGACACAATCGGCTTGCCATAGCCTGCCACTGTCGTCTGCCTAGAGCAACTGTCACATCAGCTTCATTTTGCTGCGCTGCCCAGGTGAAATGCAGCTAATTTGACCACTGAAATGCATTTATTAAGTAAAAGTTTAACCAAGACACACCTTTACAATAAAGTCAAGCTAACAAATAATTGTTTTTAGGTTGTTACCTTGTTAAACTTCGAAGAAATGGACAGCGAGTCGTCCCTCTGCGCGTTCACGTTTCCGTGTATCGGCTTTTGAAAATGCAGCTGATTCAATTGTCAAAGTGCATTTATTAAGGAAAAGTTAGACTGACACACACATTCACTATAATTTCAAACAAACAATTGTTTTTAGGTGGTGATTTTGTTAAATTCTTGTTAAAGTCCTCCCGTGCACGCTCCCGTGCACGCTCCCGTGGCGGCCATTTGGCAGCCAATCGTTTTTTGGCACAATATCGGCCCACATTTCCGGGTTGTCAGGGGTGACAAGTAACAAACGCGACGTGTCAGCAGTGATGCATAATAGATGCAACGTAGACGGCGAAGTGACGTATTTATGGATTTTTCCACTTTATTTGACATATTTGGACTGATGCGACTTTTAGGACGGTGCGACGTGTACGATGGAAAATACAGTATACATTTTTGGTCCAGGTAGAGAATGGTTATGTTTCTGTATGTTTTAAACAGTTACGATGAACTATGTCTATGATGATGTGTTTGAACATTAAATGTCTTGTAACGTACTTGTTCTAACTTCTTTGATCATCTCAGCTGATGCATGACATCCGTTGACTATATGTCTGGTCCATAGGGACAAGTCCTTGGTTGTTTCAGCCCGGAAAAGGTGAGTTTCGATACCAAGGCGCGTGCCGGTGCGAGTGGCAAAACACAGCTCCGTGTCAGAGGAGGGGGATCCCCGGTCAAGGCCAGAGTTGACAAGACTACATTAATGCAATCATATACACAATATCATTGAGAACAACACAAAATATTTATAAACATTACACTTAAAATAACTCAATTTTATGTAATGTTTAATCAAAGTCTAAATAGTTATAAAACAAGAAATAGTATGATTGAAATAACCCAATTTCATTGCTAACAACTCAGTTAAGCAATAAATTTAATGCTTCTTTTTATTAAGTGTGTATGTAGGGGACTCACCGTGTTGCTAAAAGTGGAAAGGTGTGAGCGGGGCTCTGCCAGGACTCCTTGGCTTGGGAAAAACTGTTGTACAGTAACAAGTCTTTCTCCGTCACCACTGCCAGCAACGGCTTCCAACACTGTTTCTCACTCTCCATCTGAAAATCAAACAAACAATAAGATAGGAATGAAAACAAGAATGAATTGTTTCACTGGCTTGTGAAGACCAAAGATCCCCAAGAGGAAAAAGTGCCGGGAGACAGAGGGAAAAGAGGAAAGTCAAGAGTGTAGGACTGAGACAACTCAATGTAGAGACTGTCAGAGAATTTTTGTCAAAGGTTATGGATGTTTTTATTACTATGTCTGAGAATCTTATCTCTGCCCATGAACCATATGCTAAAGTGCTATGTATTGTCATCATTGTATGTTCCCATACAACGCCGAAATTGGTTCTCTGCATTTAACCAATCGCACCTGGGATACACCCAGGTGGAGCAGTGGGCAGCTAAGTAAGCGCCCGGGGAGCAATTTGGGATTAGGTGTCTTGCTCAGAGACACCACGACACGTGGGAATGGCTGGGGATTGAACCTGGGATTTTCAGGTCCTGAGTTGGCTGCCCTGCCTCTACCCCATCTCGGCCCCTGTTGTGGTTAGCAGAGAGAGCTTGGTGAGCTGCATCAGGCAGGTGCAGCCAAGGACACCTCCTGAGCTCAGTGAACTCAGCTGAACTGATAAGGATATAGAAGTAAGCAGAGGGGCAGCCCGGGGCAGATTCTCATGACTAGTCTTCGTGTGTACATGTATGTACATTTATGTAACCTGTCCTGAAAATCTGACCTTGCAAGTAAAGTCCCAGTTAAAAATTGTCTCCAGCCATCAAATGTGTTCATTTTGAGTAAACAACAAGTGAGAATATTTTTCTCCCATCATTTTGGTCCTTCGAGTTTGGTAACCCTCTGACGTCTGAACACCAGGCTTGGACCTGAATCTGTGCATGGAGGAGTCTTGAACTCCTGAACTGAAAATCCTTGGGCTGAATTTACGATATTAGTGAGGCCAAGTCTGTTGGTGGGTCAGTGGAGGCAACAGATGTTTGACCAGAGACGAGCCACACACTGAAAGTGAGACACTGATTTTATTCAACATATCTCAGATATTGTTGTATGGAAGTCACAAAGGGATTTTTGATAGCTACAGCTCATGGCTACACCCGGACTTATAAGCAGTACCGCGAAAAAGTAAAGGAATTGAAGTTAGATTATAAGTCGATTAAGGACCTCAATGGGCAGGGTGGCTCGAACACTGATCACTGTTATGATCCCGCCCACAGAGCGGGGAAACAAGTCACAGTGGCAAATCACCTACATCTGAGAAGAACCGATAAGACGAGAGCCGAGTGGGGAGTCTTACTTATCAATGCAAAGTGGCTTTGGTGGTCGAGTCCCTCTAGACGTCTGGTGCATTTCTGTTTAGAGAAATTAGTTTGCAAATGGTGGGGAGGCATTTTTTTTCCCTTTGCATTTGTTTTGCTGGTCGTATGTTTTTACGTCTGACCATTTTCTGTGATTGCAAATTTTCTTTTGCAGGGTTTTTCTGTTGATTTTATTTTTTTGTTTTGGACTTTGCATCATTCATGTGCTTGCAGAGTGTTTAACTGTTTACTGTGAGCCGACGCAGTGATTCTAAAACAGGTGTAATGCTCTCTTGTTTTGTGGTAACAGTTAAACGGAAAGGAGCAGCGTTTTCAACCAGATGAAGTCAATGAAGTCATGACTGGTTCAGCTTGACAAAAAGTGCATTGTAGTAATCTAAACAAGCTCGGATAAAATCCTGAATTAAAATCTGAACATAATGCTGTGAAAGAAATAGTATGACTATGTCTCAAATGATAAAAGTGGGACTTGATCAACGGCTTAATCAGTGCATCATATTTAAAATCATTGTCCTGTCTCACACCCAGGTTAGTTACTGTCTGAGTCATATATTGTGTAAAAAGATCCAGATCGGCATGGGCTCAGGAAGCATCACTGGGCTTAAACAACAATACCTCAGCCTTTAGTTCATTAAAATGTTCAAAAGAAAATCTAGGACATCCAAGCTTTGATGTCTGCAATACATTCCAGCAGTTAATTTACAGAGTATTGTTTTTCTTGTTTTAGTGGCATATAAATTTGACTGTGATCAGCATAAAAATGGAAAGCAATACCATGTTTCTGGAGAAAAGATCCAGTGCTTTAAATAAAGGAAGATTTTAGAGTCACTTACATTCATTTGTCTAACCCATTCTTGACCTAAACTTGTAATCTCAGCACCTCTAAATAAAAATGTTATCAAAAAACCTTTTGGTTTCTGAGGACTGAGTTTGTTCTCAAAATGGAAACAAGTTCAAAGTGTGTAAACAGAGGACATTTCTTACATCACACACACAAACAAATACACTCATACCTTCCCTGCTAGCCATCCCAAGTGTCGTATCTCTTTGCTGCCAGCAATCCCTGTCCTGGATGTATTCTGGATGACCTCCGTCAGTGCATGCTGTGATGGGGCGGTAAATTTTAAGGTTGCATGATGATTTAAGCGTGCATAAACATTTTAAACAGAAAGCTAAATAGTGGACACTGACATATCTACCAGTACACTGAAGATGAGAGCTTCCTGTAAAAGGTGAGTCACATTAAAAGCAGACCTGTGCCAGTGTGGATGTAACAGAATGCAGGGAGGAGAACCAGGACCTGGCAGATGATTGGTCTGGACACCGGAGCACAACGGTGTGCCTAACGTTGGGACTGTGCAGCTCCAATTGTCTGGAGGAAGAGATATGAAAAGTTAGATAAGATTTAACCTTTTGTTTTCCATTAGTGAGTTTCAGAATAATAAAAAAACAAAAACATTTTAATCCCAAAATCTTTTGCAACTCTAACCAGGCAGCACCAATTTGGTGCCAAATCACCGCTTTATAAATCAAATGTTCTCTGATTACATTTCAGCTTTAACCAATTCTCCATTTGTCCCATACACTTTAAAATAAGCACCCAATTAAATAAACAATAAAAGGCCTTGAAATTTTAATTAATTTATGTAAAGTAAAAAAAATGAAATCCCATTGTTCATGCATTCTGTGTGGGCTTGATAATTCAATGCTTTATTCCCAGTGAATTTCCATAAATAATCTGCTTGTATAACAGGTGAGCATGTCTGGACTTGGGAGAAGCATATGTTTTCCCAGCTTTCTGATGGTTGCTTTGATTAGGTGCAGACTGCATATGGAAGGTACATGGGGGCGGCTGCCGACAATGCACAAAGCAGTGAACTGTGACTTTACACTGCCGTGTGAAATATTCAACTGTGTAACAAAAACAGGCATGCTGAAAAGCAGGCAAGTTGCAGTGTACAAAGAGAGCAGAAAAAATTCAGAAAGAATTATTATTTTTTCCTTCAGAAAACCATATGAATGAGTCCAAAAACAGATTTAAAAGGCAAGAGATGGTAACTGTGTGCCTCAGAATGAGATGTAATGAATGCAAAAACAATTTGAACTGTAAAGCGTTTCAATTAAAACGTGCAATATCTAAAAAGACAAAAAAAACCAAAAACATTTTAGCATGGGGGCAGCACGGTGGCGCAACTGGTAGAGCTGTTGTTCTCTCAGCGAGCAGGTCCCCGATTCAAATCCCGGTCCAGAGGCCTATCTGGGTGGAGTTTGTATGTTCTCTCCGTGCATGCGTGTGGGTTTTCTCCGGGTACTCCGGTTTCCTCCCACTGACCAAAAACATGCATGTTAGGCTGATTGGTAACTCTAAATTGTTCCTAGGTGTGAGTGAGAGAGTGAATGGTTGTTTGTCTCTGTGTGTCCCTGTGATGGACTTGAGACCTGTCCAAGGTGTACCCCGCCTCGCGCACAGTGATTGCTGGACATGGGCACCGGTGACCCCCGTGACCCAAAATGGAAGAAGCGGGTAAAAAGATAATAGATAGATAGATAGATAGATAGATAGATAGATAGATAGATAGATA